GGGGGGGGGGGGGTAGTGCTCCTCGACGGCGCACAGTGACAAGGCAGTTAAGAGGGTCTCCTTCTTTGTCCCGTTGCGCGCGGCGCGCTTTGCACTCCATCGAACGAAATCGCCGCTCTTTGCGAAACGATTTGGCTTATCTCCGCACGCGTGGTGGCGCGTGGCGCGTCACTGCTCATCTCGAGTGCGTCTGGCGGCGTTCTGCGGAGGTATAAAGGACCCCGGGCGCGCGGCGGGCGCACGCTCAGCGCCATGCAGTCCCTGAGCTTCGTCCTCGCCCTCGCGGCCCTCGCGGCCTGCGCCAACGGTAAGCGAAATAGACTTGGGAGTGAGCGGATTTGTGCAAAAGTTCCTGCTGAGGGGTCGTCCAGAAAGTACGTCCGTCTGTTTCCCTCAGATTTACTCGGTAGATGACTGACCGGGAGCTCAGCGCCTGCGAAACTTGGGGTAGGCCAGCCCGCAGTACACGCATGCACTGCAGGGAATATGTTGCCTACCCATCAGGCGCTAAGAGAGCTTGAACCTGGTTGATTACGGCGGATGACAGACACGTCTTTTCTGGATGATCTCCAAGTGAAACACACGTTTCGGATATGACGCAGAAATGTGTGCACAAAATTTGATTGCTTAAATTCGAACAAATAAAAGATAAAAATCCAGTTGCGCTCGCCCTGCTGCGTTGGAGGGAGGAAACGTAACAAATGATTTACTGCTGTCTGCAGCTGGCGCCGTGAGCAGCGGCCGCTCCCTCAACCCCATGGTGTGGCCCATGCCCAAGCTGGGCGTGGCCCTCAGCCCCGAGATCATCGGGGGCGACGACGCCGACCAGGGCGAGTTCCCCCACCAGGTGTCCATGCAGATCTCCTTCCTGTGGGTCATCGAGCAGCACATCTGCGGCGCCACCGTCATCAGCGAGTCGTGGGTGCTGACGGCCGCCCACTGCATCAAGGGCACCCCGTGGTACACCAGCAACTTCATCCTGGCCGGCAAGACCAACCTGGGCCGCACCGAGGAGGGCCAGCAGCGCCGTGACGTCAAGAAGCGCTTCGTGCACGAGAAGTACCAGTGGAACCACAACAACGGCGTGGGGCCCTTCGACATCGGTCTGCTGCTGCTCAAGAGCCCCCTGCAGCTCAGCGACACCGTCAAGATCGCCAGGCTGCCCGTCCAGGGCGCCATCCCGTCCGGTTAGTTTTCCCCTATTATATTCAGTTAAGAAAAGTCTACCGGCGCGCCCCGGGGCGCAGACTGGGGTCTTGAGGTGTGGCGTAGCGTGGATCCGGGGCGGGAGACCCCTGCGATCTACGCTCCGCCACGCCACCAGAGCCCAGTCTACGCCCTGGGGCGCGCCGCCCCCGGTAGACTTTTCTAAACTGAATATAACGGGTTTCCCCGCCCGGGAGCAGAGCCGTGCAATAAGGGAGGCGCATTTTTCGCGCGCATCAGATGCAACAGAGATGCGCCAAAACTGTGTTTAAAATGCGAAAAAAGGCCTCGCTGCCCAGTGAGTAATACGAAAACTGATGAATATCGATCGAGGCAAATTCGACACAAAATCGAGTCGAATTCGTCCCGCAAATCGATGAATTGTCGAATTCAACGTCGAATATTTCTCTGGGCTTCCCTGCCCCAGTGAGAAGCCTTCGACGTAGACGTCAGTGAGATGTCGAATAATATAGACGTCGGTTTAGATGCTTGTGGTCAAAAAATCGACGCCTTTTTGAACTTCGACGTCAGATTGACATATCTCACGACGTCAAAGTTTCTCGGTTTCTCACTGGGTGGGTCGCTAGCGCTAGCCGGCCGGCGCCGACTTATTTGCTCATCCCAGTGAGAAGAGGTTTTTGATGCGATATCGAAACGATAACGTTCAGATATCGAATGTCGTAAATTGTATCGTAAACGATAAAAAAATGTACCTGATTTCGATACATTTCCGACATGCGATGTCGAAACGATGTCGTATCGATATTTCATTTCTCACTGGGATGGACACGATGACAATGAGAGGTCGGCCGCTCTGCGCAGGTGTCGCCATCCTCTCCGGCTGGGGCAGCACGAGCACGAGCCAGACCCCCGTCATGCCCAGCCAGCTCCAGAAGGAGACGCTCCCCATCATCTCGTTCGAGGACTGCAACGCCTTCATGGAGGCGGCCAGCCAGGGCGAGGAGAACCCGCTGCGCGACACCAACGTCTGCGTCGGCTACCTCGAGACCAAGGGCCAGGGCGCGTGCAGTGTGAGTACTGCAAGCACAGCTGCAAGCACAGCTGAAAGCACGGCGCTGTGCTGCACACAGAAAACCGTTTCCAAGGGGAAAAGAAATTTTATTTGACTTAAAGGGAAAATTTCGTGCCAAGCATAAAATCTAAGTCCAATGTTTTGTTCAGACAACGATTTTTTTTTATTTATTTTTTTTCAAGTTTTGTCAACTCGGACAAATTTGCTTTGAGTTGAAGAAAACTTTTCTTTCGTTGAAACGAAAATTTTGTCAAACTCATGATTATGTTCCCGTGAAGAAACGGTTTGCTGACGTTCTCCATTGTGTTGACGCAGGGCGACAGCGGCGGCCCCCTCATCCAGAAGGACGGCGAGGACGTCGTGGTCATCGGCGCCACCTCCTGGGGCTTCTTCCCCTGCCAGGACCAGCCCGCCCCGTCCGTGTACACCCGCGTGTCCGCGTACGTCGACTGGATCCAGGAGAAGATGCAGAAGAACAAGTAGACAATAAAGAAAAATAAACAAGCCTCTCTGACTCGTTCACCGTGCAGGTACCTCTGTGTTCTCCCCCCCCCCTCCTCCCCCGCGCGCGCGCCGAGGTGTCTCAGTTTAGGCCCGGTTTAGGGCGGTTGTCTCTGCTCTCGAGCAGGCTCAGAAAACAAACACATAACATGTTCTTTCCACTTCATTTATTGTCCAGGTCTGATGTAGCGACTGCTCGCTCAACTGACAAAAGTAAAATTGGTTTTGGTAATAAATCATACACTTTATTTGAAAGTCACGTTGGAACATTGAGAACTGGTTATAGTGAAATACAATGTGACCGTTTATCTCAGATAGGATAGATATTACCATTACCAAGGTACAGTCTTGCCCTCCCACTGAACAAATGTGTTATGGTTTTCAGGTTTGAGATTATAAAACAAATTCAGCATGCTCTTCACACTATCTTCCACCGTGCCGACTGCATCTGTCCCCCCCAAGTCTGTCTTAACCCATCCTGGACACACACTGAGCACTAGTATATTCTCAGGTCCAAGTTCTAATGCTATTGAACGAGCTGCCATATTCAACGCAGCCTAAAATAGAAAATGAAAAAAAAATAAATTGTTATTCAGAGCAGTAACATTTTTCATGTTTCTAAAACTACCTGAAACTCACCTTACTTTCCCGGTACTCTAAAAATCCCCCAATTTCATTACTAGACACGGAACCAAGACTCGAAGAAATGTTTATTATGGCTGCACGAGACCAGCCTCCTGTAGAGGACTTATTGACCTCTGCTGCTTGTTTCAGTAGAGGTCGTAATGCCTGTAAAACATAAATTAAATTATACCTTGTCCTCTCTTTTGTCACAGGGACTAACTATTAAGTCATGTTCATTACCATAAAATTACCTTAATCAGAAGAATTGGAGCTACTGTATTTGTGCAATAAACATCAATCATGTCCTGGGCATTAACTAACGAGAGGCTGCCTTTTCTACCACGAATGATACCAGCATTATTTATAAGAACATTTAATCCTTTAT